CATGACCTTTCTACGGTGGTTTCATTGTTGTCAGTGAGAACATGTAGCTCATTAATAGTCAAACATATAGTACAAATATACAAATAACCAAACACACAGTTTCCAGATAGTAGGAGAAGTCGCTCTGGCAAAAAAGGTCATGACAAATGTGTTTTCAGATTTAACACGCAGGAAAATACTCGCCACACTGTATTTTCCTGCGTGTATTAAATGACGCTTTGAAATATAATTACTTGTTTCAACATTTAACAGAATTCCTTAACAGTATCAAACAAAACGAACTGCTCTAATCAACAGTGCATGTATAGTACACGTTGAGGTGTGACAACTTGCGGATTGGCGTCTCTAGCAGATCGTGCTGCTTCCTACGACGTTGGTTTATTTCAGTGTCTGTGCCACCGTAATGGCAATGAGGTATCCATTTGAGAGTCGAAATATCACAATGGCCTGTGCATATTGCCCATCGTGAGACATGCCCTAGCAAAAATCGGACATCCGCGCAAAAGAGTTTTCCGAATACCAGTCTTACAGGGAGTATCTTTACGGTAACGAGGAGATATAAAATGAAATAAAGCGACAAAACAACGGCTGCGGGGCTACGAAGTCCAAAGCGAGCGCCTTATTACTTCAACAGTTCGGCCTGTGAAAGACTCCAGAAGCAGAAGCTGTGAGATATTCCAGAGCGGAGGTCGGCCAGTAAGCACAGAATGAAGATATAGTATGACAAGAAAAAAACATTACATTATTCTTTACAAGTGTCTTCAATAGGAAATCTCATTGGACATTATAGTTTCAACAAACCTAGAAGTGCACACGAATTCAATTCGTTTTTTTCTTGCATAGGTCGGTGTTTATGGCCGCCACATCGTAGATTATTCCCGATACAACAACACAAAGAAATATGGACTACTCGATTGGAGAACTGAGAAGCATCCGCTCCAAAAGGGTTGTATGCACCATCAGCGGCGCTGTCATTCAGCATAATCAAAAACTATTTTTAAAAGTCAGTCACAAGGGTGCATTCGCTACTGAAGTTCCCTTGCTATATATATAACCATTACTAACGTTATATCCAAGACTGGAAAGTAGAGAACGGTATCAATAATGTGATTATATCAAAGCGAAACAAACAATTGGATGAAGTTTTAACTTCTTCTGATTAAACCACAACCTATGTTTAACATTCTGCGACTATTTATTCAAAAGTCGTGTCACAGAAAAAGAGATGTACCTCTCTTAGCTCGACGGGAAATTTTCACCAGACTTCACGTCGTTAGTTATTAGCGTACAAATCCAGGGTGACAGAGCTGCGGGTCCTATTAAAAACGCGACCGCCGCTATGAAATATTTTTAGGGACATGACATTTGAGCAAAGGAATATTTTTACTTTTCTGATTCTAAAAGAAGTTTATTCTGTAACTAAAAACATTTAGTTAAACGTTAGCAGGACATACGCACTTAGCACGCTCCTAAAAGTAAATGACAGAGCTTCGTTAGGCCTTGTGTCGTTGGGTCGGCAAATTATTGAGCCTGTCTTCTAAAATGTAACTTACCATACACTTCATACGAGATTTAGATGTGTACGTTGTAAATTTACCTGTTTGTGGGGGGGGGGGGGGGGGGTTTTTTTTTTGAGTTTCCATATCGTTATAGTATAGTATAGTCCCGTTGTCAGTTGTCTATAAGGCGCATGCGGTCGAAGTAACACAAAATCTTTGCAATACACGAGTTTCCCTTCTGCACTAAAAGCACTACTATGGCTTAAAGATTGAATTGAATAAATACTAAAAATAACAAATATTCTCTGGTCTGTGAGTGAACAACTGGAGCTGGTTGATCAAGACCGTGGACCATTCCAGATCTGTTTCATGTGGCTGCAGCCAAGCGCACATGGCCAATATATTTTCGCCCAATGACAACAGCGTTACGTAGATGCATTATTGATTACTGCTGATACATCTGTATAGATGGGGTGCGGATAGAAAAAGCTCAAGCGACGTTGTGAAATACATCATCGAACACGTTTTTTTTTTGCGTTACTCACGTTATCAGTGAAAAGGGGCAAGCTTGCTTAAAAGCTCATTTACGATTGTTCATTGTCACCGTCTCGCTAAACATGGTTTATATGTTCAGTGCATTTGTCTCTAAATTATTCACTAGCTTCCTACCGATAATAGATAAAACTGTTCAAACCTTTTTCTATAATCGTAAATAAACAGCTTTGATATTAGTAGTCTAACTCCTTGACTAGATAGAAAAACCGTTCTGCATTCATCCCTGCAGTAGGTGGTATGTGCTTCAGCTGCAGTTATTATCAAATGGGCCATTATGACTTAAAAGAATGCTCACCGCTGGATCGAAAGACAACTGCAAAATCGTAAAGAAACTATGCACATAGAAAAGTGCAATTAGTCCTAGCTGATAAAACATCTTGGACAACGTTGTTTTTTGTATCATTATGAAACAGAATGCGTTTATATATAGGAATCCTCTTTATTATTTGTCAGTGTTCCTGAATGATTCCGGTGTCGAGTGATACTTCCTCGCTAAAAGCTTACAATATTCAAACATGTTTGTCAATGGTGGTTTCAACGTCCAACTCGAATCAATCGCGAGTATTGTAGCTTCAGAGAATGACTGTCGACTGATACATCATGAAAGTCTTGATTCAAAAATTCGATTCAGCTGTGAAAACGATAAAAGCAAGGTAACTTCCTAAAGACGTTACAACGAATGTCAATACAAAAGTGGATTTTTGCAGAAAATAAAATTAATTGGACGCGTACAGGTCCACTTATGTTTTTTTTACTTGTAATAAGCAGTTGAAACGGGTACATAGTCCCTGTCCTTTCTATATTGGAACAATGCATAAAGTAAACGTTCAATTTTTAGAGAAGACTTTGGTTATTGAACTTTACAGTTTAGTTTAAATGTGAACGCTAACAAAACTTCATTCTCGAGTCAATTATTTTGGCAAAAGGCCCAAGTGTCGAAAATAGAGAGTGATTCTCATGCTGTGGCGCCACAAATAGACTGGTTTGAAGACTGTGCTTCCTATAATTAAAAAAAAAACGGTCCCTTTTCCGTAAAAACTACCTAAACTATTTAAGCTAGCTATTTATCCCACTGATAAGAGCTTTCGTCTTCCTCATAAAGAACCCATGTGTCAGATATAGTTTTCGTTAAATATATCGTTCTTCGTCAAAGGATATCGTACTTTATAGGCCCGTATATATGTGCCTATATTATGCTGATAAAAATGTGATTGTTGAAGCTCTGTTTGACACTAGAGGCGCAAGAAAGGCGTATATCTATACACGATCGTAGATCTACGTGACGAAACGATAAAAGCATTTCAGCCCAGCAGTAATACATTTCCGATTAATTGTCTATTACAATCCGGTGGTGTTTCCACAAGAGAACTTCAAAATAAGCTTCTAGATTACGTGCTATAGCTTTAACTGAAATGCATAGCTTTATCACAAAACATAAAATCGAAGGTGGGCATAAGCTTGGCAAGGAAGATAAAGACCGTTTCATATATCATATTGCACCCCAATAAAGTGAGTGGCCGTTAAAATCGAGCCACTCCGGGGTCAACACCGCACTTATGCTGCTCGTCTAGCCGATACAAAGGTGCTACAACGCTACAAAGTCGGCATCTTAGTATCTGCATAGGCAACCCAGTGACTTCCGGTATATTTGTGTATGGTCTTGATCGCCAGTCCACATTAGCAGTTTTTGTCAATGCCACTCAGTGGGATCTTTCTGCTGTATTTCTTTATTTGAAACCCTATATTTGCTAGTTTTTGTTATTACGATTATAACATTATTGTTTTTCCTCAGATTTTCAGTAACCATATATAAGAATTAGATTATCTGTTTGTTATTCTGTGTATTTTCACAGTGTACCTTATCTTTTAACAATTATCCCAAACTGTGCAAGTCTATCAAATTAAACATAAGTGACTCAGCTTCTGCCTATTTTAACTATTTAGGACACGATTATAGGGTTAATGTTAAAAACCAGAGCAGTTTATTGAACAGTGAAACGTTTATTTACAACATTGACTTTCCTTCGTGCAAATATAAACGTTTTTTTCTGCTGGCTTCTTCGTAGCTTAGCACATCATTTAGCTTTGATTTGCATATAGGCTTCGTACCTCATTTACGGCCTATGAATTATCGCCAATATATTGATAAATCGAGTCGTTAGTCAATGCATGTTGCTATCAATCTTTCCTTGGTCATCAAAAGGTGGCCACTGTGCAAACCGAGCCACTCCACAGTAGCCGAGACCAGCAGCAAATAGAATTACGAGTGGACGAGCCTGTGGATGCTGATTGCGTATCCCAGTAAAGACATACCATGAAGCGCCAATCAGGCCTAAGCCACCCAAAATTCGGCATCCTTTACAGTCTTTTCTCTGACGTGAGATTTGCTTTATATCGCTGTCTGTCATTGCTTCGTTTCGGGTGTGTAACTACAATCTTGAACAGCTGATCATTGCAACAACGAACACATACTCACATATTAGGCCAACATATCATTGCCAAGTAGTTGGAAACATGAATAGGATATGCATTAGGTTACATTACATCTAGAGATTGCAATACCAAAGAAACACGCTTTATACTAAGTTAGATGAAGTATTATACAATTGAAGTCTGTTTGCCTTATAATTTTTTTAGTTAACTGAGCAGTTATAACAAATACTACTATGCTAAGCAACACATGTTCTTAACAATTCAACTGTTTCCAGTCTGACTAGCTTCTTCCTTGTCGTTTCCTGCATACATACGTAGATGTGGTGTAGAACACGAGTAACGTAAAAATCAAATTACAGTACTGTATTGTTCAAAAACGAGTTTTATCTGCTTCCATCCGATGGTAGTCCACGATTGTGCTCGTTTATTTACGTTCATCTGTAGCAATAGCCCTGTTCAGTTAGAAACGTTCAATCGGCAGGCATAAATCATCATTTTCAGCAGCCACTTACCACAACTTCACAGAATTTCGGAGCAGTTCGACTTCCTTAAATGACTGATCTGACATCGAGTGAACCTAATCCTACAGACATATGTTGAGCGTCTCTCGTAAGCACAAGTACCCTGTGTCTGCGGCCGACAGAAAGGCTGCCACTCAGTTATATCTCGTCCTCTGACATAGTGCTTGCCGTAAGCAACGACCACTTGAGAGGCGAATATCTAATGAACGGATTATCTCAGGAGACTCTTTTCCCAGGCAACAGAAGGCAGTTGCAGCAGGCGGACAAACAGATGCACAGTCAGATGCATACACAAACAGACAGAACGATCAGATATAGACACAGTACGTAAATGCAGTGTTAACTACGGGGACCGCTGCAGCAAAGCAGCAGGGTAGTTTCATTGGCAGAATACATATCACAGAGATAGTTATATCCATACGTAAAAAGACAGAAACAGAGAGGCGCACCTGCAGAGTGGTTCGTGCTGCTGCGCCCTTTTGATCTTCTCTACCAGGCCTACGTTGCTGTGTGAGTAGAGTATCATCGATGCTTACGACGGAATATTTGATGCGGTCTAACCGAAAAGCAAGTATTTTCAAATCTGATAATTTACCATGTTACTAAAACAAAATACAAAAGATAAGCAAACGTTTCTCAATAATTGTCAGTTATATGTTAACAAGCAATACCTCGATAGAAGGATAGTGGGTGCGCGTTTCGACGGCCTTTGAAGGTTGCAGTTTGCTTCAAAAAGAAACGACGACAACTCCTTTTGTAAGATGGGACTCATTGTTTGACGGCCTCAATTCAAGAATCATAACTGAGCGACTGGCAGTCGCACTGTTCGCTTTGTTCAACACGAAAGTGGATAATGAGAGAGGATTGCCGTTTATTTTTGTTGAGTCACAGTCTCTGCTTTCCTGATCAGTAGAAGCGTGGTATCTGACCATTATGGTATTTGTTAGCATCTCATCGCTGCTGCTGTTGCCACAGCTGCTTCTCCGCTTCCGTTCTGTCAGCTAAGCGATTTTTTGGGTGTTTGCTTGCTGTTCGCAGATTTCCGGTTATTCTCACCGACTCGAATAACAGTAATATTAGGATTAACTCGAATATTAGGATAAAATACTTTAGGCGGAGGCTATATTGACCATGATCCAGAGCTGCACATTTTTGGCGTTCGAGAGATTCAGCAGCGTTTGCTTAGAGATCATGTTTTCGTCTTGGTATGGCCAGTGGCGGTAAGAAGTGGAAGAGTCTTTGAGACGAGTCGGTCAGTCTTCGTTATGCGCGACGACGAGGTCATCTCGGTTGGCAGGGCGCGCAAACGACTAAACGCTATTACACTATACGATCGTGACACTAGTAGTTGTTGTGGTAATAGCCACGATGTATTGTCATTATTATTAATGCTTCATGCCAAGGGCTTATGTTGTTATAATTACTAGTCCATGTTACGTAAGTTTATGTTTCGAGCGCATGCACGGAAATCGGAAAGTGAGTGTGCGATCTGACAGAAGTAAAAAAAAAAAGGTAAATCCTTTAAAATACGTGCCCCTGTTATTGTGATTAATATTATTGTTGTGGCTGTGTGGTCAGTAATCAGTGTTGAAAGGTTTCTAGAATCAGTGCGATTTTGTCACGGACGGAAATCTGAATGAATTTTGCGAGAAAACGCGGTAGATGACAGCGACCGCTATATCAATATTAGCGAGAATTGGTCGGTGACTTTTTGCAGGACTATGACGCTGTCACATGAAGTAACAAGCAATAAATAAAAGTATATATATGTATACGCGTGCTAACTGTCAAATGGGAAATGATATCCTTTATCAGGGTGTTCTAGAATATTTTTCTAAATATCTCGAAACGAATTTTTGTCATGACATGATTTATTATGAAGGCGGATTTTTTATGAAAAGAGAATTTTACGTTTGACAAAGGCATCCAATAAATAGATGTCTACTGTATAGCTAATAAAGCGAAATCTTAATAATAGCTTTTTATACAGATTCGAACATCGCGGATTGATTATCTGCGGAAAGCCGTACATGACCACTAATGCTAATGACAAAATTAGTCTGCTAAAAACCGGGCGTAGGAGTGGCCGGCAGGAGGGTGCTAGATATCCACAGGCGGCCGGATATCAATTTAGTTATATAATTTATATGTCTTTTTTTATGCAAAGGCTGTAGAATAAACAAAATAGACACCTTACTTGTTCGTGGCTCAGAACCTAGGATTGATGTTATCCTGAAGGTATGAATGGTATAATCCATTTCGAATAGTTTATTCTTGCCGGATTATTTGTAACCAGAGTACCATCAATGTATACCTCTGAGGAACAGTAAGGCCGTGAGTGTACATTGGCAGGACCCCATAGACCCTATATGTATTTCTGTCGCCTGACCAATTAATTTAGGCTGTTTTTTCGGCCTTCTTTAAACGTATATTTGTATTGTCTACAGAAGCTGGCACATGACGTGTTCCATCATTTATTCTTGCTCATGGTTGTATTATATCATTTTTTGTGTGAATCTTCGCTCTGCTCAGGGTGTTAATCGTCAAATGCGCTAGTCCCTTCTATATATAGAATAGTATTTATGCAGTTTTCAGGATATAGAAACTCAAGTGCCACGTCGGTGTCGTGCTAAACAAGCTAGGTGGTATCGTTTTTTTCTCGTTTAGTGTTGACGGTGCCTAAAGTTTAAATTATACTTTAGGCACCGTCAGTACCAATTTTTTTAGATGCCAAAATATATGTATGTGCGTTGTAACTTTATCTGTATTCCCAGACCTTATAGGCGAAGCTCGCAACATGTCCGACTCAGATGTCGGACCTACCACGCCATCGCCAACAACTCCGGCAGGCGGATCCGCTACCTCCCCTCTCTACAGCGGGCCCCAGCGACAGTCGGATGAGCCCGTCATGCAGACAAATGATGATGCTACGGCTTGTAAACGGGCCGCGGTTGAACGCGGCTACTGGAATGATTCGTACGTGCAACATTTTATCAAGCACGGGGACCGCAAACCGCCCGAGATCAACCGAGGATATTTTGCACGTGTACAGGTATAAGATGTTGTCATTGCGATAATAGCGCTTATTATTTAAATTTGATGGAGATCTCATTGTGGCCGCCGTTTCTCTGCCCCTGTTACACTTGACTAATTAAGCAAAAACTAGGTTTTCACAGTAAAAGTAAAGTTAGCAACTTAAAAGTACAAACCATTAAACAAAATTACGGCATTGGTTAAGGCTGCTGAAGACGTTAATCGCATCAAGAACCAATAAAGTTAATATCTTATTTTTCACAACAGGCTGTAATTGAGGTAAAGTACAGGGGCTCATTAAACCCAGCGAGATGCTTTGTTGACATCTATAGTTTTATTGCAGGCAATCAAGATGTTAGTGGATAAATTTCTCGAGATATCTAGCAGCCAGGCGCAAATTGTCAATCTTGGAGCAGGATTTGACACTTTATTCTGGCGACTGCAAGAGGAAAATCGGCCGCTTAAAGCCTTTGTCGAGGTGGACTTCCCTCCGGTTACAATGAGAAAAGTACACTATATTCGCTTAAGAAAAACCCTCCTCGAAAAGATAGCTAGCGGCGAAGGTAAAATACTTCGCATTTGTGTTCTTAATAGCATCAGTATTGCTGTACTTGCAATTTATATATTCGCCTAGCAAGTTTTATTATATTGCTATTCGATCATTGCATTTAAATGTACGTGTTTTGGGTTTAAATATAAATGTATTTGCATGCTTAGTCTATGTAATTCAAATTTTTCCATACTCAACCGTGGGCATTTTATGGACATCTTTCAAGAATGCACACAGTGTACTGTCGGCGAATCGTTTTCATTTTGTTAATCTGATTCTTATCCGTTGTATTTGTTGACTTTTCTAGATGATGATATTCGACTATCGAAGTGTGACATCCACTCATCGCGGTACCACCTTGTAGGGGTCGACATGAAGGATCTGCAAACGCTTGCTACTAAATTTTCCCAAGATTGTCGACTTGATCCTCAGCTGCCAACGCTGTTTATTGCGGAATGTGTACTTGTATATATGGCACCGACCGACTGCGAAGCTCTGCTGAACTACATCTCTAGTACGTACTTTTTAGATCAACCTCTTTTCAGAAGATTAGAGGGCAACGCAACCATATCGTTGTACTTTAAAAAGTTATGCCTTATTCAATTTGTACAAGCCAAAAGTTGCCTGCGCGTAACATTGGCGGTCACTGATCTTGTCTACCGCGGTCACTTTTTCGTTTACTATTCCAGGTACATTTAAAAAAGCAGTTCTACTCAATTATGACCCAGTAAACATGAACGACAAGTTTGCCGAGGTTATGCTTGAAAATCTCAAGCACAGGGACTGTCATTTCCTGGTAAGTTGAGTTGTGGACAATCTAGGGGTGAAGGCTTACACGAAAAATCAGGTTATAGATATATATACGAACATTAGTCTAATAGGATTATTTGTCCAAATTGCGTGACATATTTTTTAGGGACTAGAGGCAGCGCAGGATCTCATTAGCCAAGAAGCACGGCTGTTGCGGTGCGGTTTCCCCCATGTCCGATCGTGGTTGATGCTTCAAGTGTACCAGGCTCTTCCAAGCGCCGAGCTTAAAAGGATCGAAGCGCTCGAGCTGATGGACGAGCACGAACTCCTACAGCAGCTACTTAATCACTACTGCATTTCTGTTGCCGATAACTGTGCGCCGGCATTAGGTTTCGGGGAAATTCGACTTCATCCCGTATCTACGGTATCTGTATGAGAGGTGGATGGTAAAAATAATAATTAGAGCGCCCTCTTTAACGCAACTGCCATTGCTCTGTCTAGCAGTTGTCGTGGTTGTGAGAAAAAAAGTGGCGATTAGGCAAAACAATATTATTTCTTTACACATAAGTTTTTATGACAAAACGAAAGACGTGACAGCAAAACAAAACCTACACGGGCGAGAGCAAGCGACTTTACATGGAAGAAAAGTTTTGTGAATGGGGATTATCTCACTGTTGACTGAAGAGACTGTATCATGAACCAACAAAGCGGTCTGAGTAATGACATATACATACATTGAATGATAGACATAGAAAGCGTATGGGTGGTTCGATAAGTTTTGAATGCTTGCGCGTGTGAAAAACTCTCGATAATAGGATTCGGATGGTATTGAGGAAGTACACAAAAATAAAATCGTCCGATGCGTGTTTGGTCTATGTTAAGTCATAGTCAGGTTTTCTTAATTTTGACGTGCCTGGAAGCGCAATTGTAACACATATTTTTGAAGACGATGAAAAATAAAATCCAAATACGAGCCTAAGTGAAAATAGGACATTAGGCCGTTATTTATCGGGGTATGAATGATTACAGCGTAGAGCGTGGTAGCTGCGTAAGGGCTTACAGAAAGATGGGAAGTGCAGCAGAAATAATGAGATCAAATCTATCGAGCAGACGTATTGAGAGGTCATCTCGACGTCTGATTTGTTTGTCGCATTTTGAGAATATTGTAGCCCGCCTAAAAAGGTGTAATACAGCCATAAAATATACTCCGATCGGACGAAGAAGTGTTCAGGGGGTGTTCTCCAGGACGTGTATTTGCTAGGACTTCGTCAGAATTTGCAGAAGATTAAACCATGCTCGCCCATATCATTATGTGTGTGATATATACGCAACGGATTAGAAACGTAAAAGAAAACCTTGTGTGTGACGAAGTTTTCTTCAGTTGGTCCATTTTTTCGTTGAGCTTATCACGCGCCAACTTACCCAGGGCTAATTCTGGTAATAATAATACAAAAGTACTATAGCTGTTTTTCGCAGAACCGCTATCGTAGAAATGCGGTGGAACATAGAGCTGATTCATCTGAATGGATACGCAAGTGGGAAAGCAGTGTAGTAATAAGAACAAATAAAACGCCGGCCCGTGACACTGCAAAGGAAATTGATGTACCATACAAATTGTAATTTAAGGATGAAATACGTCTACATGATTACACAAGGACATTCTCATACAAACTAGACGCAACATACACTTAACGCAGTTACTGTTACAGCAATAGCAAATACTGCTGTTTCATGTCTGTTAGCGAACGAGATATTCTTCCTGCTTTGAAAACGCTGCATTCCTAAATGCCGTGGTAGAATGGGAATGATGGAACGGCAACATATTAATAGTAATCATAATGGTAATAGCTCGAGAACTGATAATGATAGCACGTGACTAATGAGGATAATCTTAATGAAAAGGCAGATCAAATGTGATTTGTGAGATGCGGACGTTAAGTTATACGTGTAAGAAACTGCTTCTTTAGAAAGCTGGAAAACTGCGAAAACATTGTACTGACTTGTATCGAAAAGCTCGTTCAGAATTTTGTGGAAGGATAAAGTTTAATTTTTAGCTAGGTTTATAACTCTGAATAGCGGCAAAATAATACATGCTAGAGCTGCTTTCTGAGCTAAGCTTTAATTTGGCGGGTCAGCTATAAATTAGGCAGTTTAAATTATACGTTTATGTGCGGCCCTGATGATTGAGGTCAAAAAGAGCAATTTTTGTGAAATAAAGGTTGTCAAATAGTTGCCATCATTGCATGGTTTCATTCCTTTTCGAAGCCAGACAAAATTCTGCTGCATATGAGCAAAGACAAAATAAATTGGCTATAGGTACATAAGACAATAATTAAAAAGTTCGCAAATGAATAACTAAGAAACAGAAAAAGCTGTCTGCATTAAGCAGAGGTCAGTACGATCAAATGCATTCTGTAAATAAATATAACTGTTTTATCACAATACTAAAATTTTGTTTATTGTACCAGTATAATGATTACGTTAACCAAAAGTTAACGTTTTAGTACCTTCTTTTTAAACTTGCATGTCATCCAGGAAGGTGTTAATCACTCCCGTAAAAACAATTTGTAATTCACAATAAAAATTTTCCAATGTAATCTTTAGAGCAATTATTAATTCTAATAAAAGACGACTTAAGATTTAGGTGTTGCAGTGTTTCTATGGCAGATTGCATACCGCAACAAACGTGCTATTTGTCACTTTGGTCATGACAATATTTAGGTGAACAAGGCGTATGTACCATATTTAATCCTATGGATAAGAGTAGAGCCACCGTAAGTAACTTGAAACGCTTTGAGTAAAGCATTTTCTATTGACGTTCTGTTGAAAGCCATTGCTGACCTAATGCCTGCTTTTCCGTTAACGTTCAGTTGAAAGCCATTGCTGATCAAATGCTAGCTTCTTCACTTGACGTTCTGTTCACTCTGTCCGATCGGATACTAAGTACGATATCGAAATCACATTTAGGTTTGGTAAAATAAACCTCACATGCGATAATAATTTTATAACGAGGTTATCTATATTGTAAATACAATTTTACGATACAACGGACCGAAACTCGAAGTCGACGTGCTATCATTCTTTTTCAAAATACTATATGCTATCCTCGAATACATCAAGAGCTCCGTCGGGTGAACCTAAAAGAACTCAAATCGGTTTGTGTGAAAAAGATTTATGAACCCTCTAACCTAAGGATTGCCACTTTAAGGCTTCTATCCGATTAAAACACCCTTTGATTACTCTCGCTAAGTAATCGTTAATAATTACGGCAAGAATCATTTAGAATCAGGTGAAACTATCGTGAGTTCACATAGCTACGTAAACTATTTACAGCAGTGGTTCCAAAAAGGGCGTCACTCGTGATCTTTACTGATGTTATTACAGATAATCAGAACCGCGATGGTCACGCAAACATTATACCAGTAGAGTAAAATAGGCTCTTTCGATTTGCACAGTGCTTTTAGTACGAATTTGCAATCCATTAAAATGCAACCTATTTTTTTTTATTATAGTTTCCAGTAGTCAATCATTATCATTAAGGTTATATTATGTTAAGTGGCGATTATTGTCTCGCAGACATCGCTTGCCATACAGACACGCGCCAATATTGACGTCATAGGACCGATTACATAAAAAGGCAGCTCGCACTCTTGCTTTCTCTGCTATTAGTCAAATTATTAGATGAATTATTAATCCGTCTGTCATACTGGGCCGCATTCCGTCCTGCGCCCTCTATGCTACCTTGTAGTTTGGGCGGCAGCTCTTTTGGAGTGGCCAAATCCATTTGGTCAATAAGTAACTTGAAAGTCTTAATCTCTTTGCGGCAGTCATGCAAGAGCATCTTGTCCTGGTGCCATTCCTGCAGAAGCTTGTTATGCTGTTGTTCCCAATCACGCTGTCTGACTTCAGCAGTTTCCGAGGCAATACGAAGGCGTTCAATTTCATTCTTCTGAGTCTCCAGCAATGAAGACACTCGATCGTATTCCGTCTTCGGAACGTAGTTGCCTAGTTCCTGCTCAAAATTTTTTCTGATGTTCATGTTATGGGCGTTCATGAGGCTGTCGTATTCTTCACGCAATCGGGCCAGTTCTTGTGAAAGATGGTGATTCTGCTCTGAGTTTGTGTTGATTCTAGCTGCGAGCGCGACCTTCTCCTGTTGAAGAATCTCATTCTTTTTTTCGACGCCCTGCAAACGGTTCTGTTCCGTGGCCAGCTAGAAGAAATGGCAAAGCAAAAGAACCACGCTATTCCTGCAATTTTTCTACGACCCATTGGTTCAAAAGTTTGACGCGGAAGACCGAAGAACCTTAAGATTATGTGGTTAAAATTAGGTAAAGTCAAATGTACGAATATTAAATACACCTTTATCCTGCAATTACATTGAACATTACATAGTCCTGTAGCAGTGTAAAAATTCGTCATTTTTAGTAAAGAGAATAATGCGTTGGTAAGCTACCTTCATAATTATTTTGTTCGAAATGGTAACACACAAGAGGTACCAACCTCTTCAATAGCGTGTTTTAGCTTATTCTGGGCAATATTCATTTTCGTTGTCGATATTTTAAGTGCGTCTTCAGCGGCTGCTCGACGTGCCTGTTCACTGGATAGTGTTTTCTGGAGCTCAGCTACTTGGCTGTCCTTCAGGGAAGCTGAATTGCACAGGGAACTCACCTCGGACTTTAGGATCGCTTCTTGTTTTCGGAACTCCTCAAAAAGTCGACGTCCGGCCGCCATTTCTTTTTTGAGACGAGTAACATGATCTTCATTTGTGCGAAGGTCTGTTTCAGCCATGGCCTGGATAGATTATTCATCATCTCTTTGTTAAACGTGTGGGCCATGTACATTTGATTGCCGACAGCGGACATTGATAGAGGAAAATTCGACAAAAAGCACTCTGCGGAATATTAGCAACGTCCTAGGAAATCAAGACATGAAGAGGGCTACACCATGTCATAGTCACTCCTATGTGTATTACTAAAACTGCAGGAATTACCTTTTCCTGAAGTGCTTTCTCAAGGCGCGCTTTTAATGCGTCTATTTGCCGCTTTCGATCCTCTTTTTCTTGAAGAAGCTGCACCCTCAAGAGGTCGTTCATGTGTGTTAACTCCTGGTTTTCCGCTACTAAAGGACCAATTCTTTCAATGTTGTTTGCAAGACGCGTATTAAGCATCCTTAGGCATTGCTTCTGCGACATCTTACTGGGCGTCATAACTTCCATTGCGGAAGGCCTGCCAGGCTCTGTCACGTCGGAATCGCCACGTTCCTTGCTTACCTTTACCAAGATGCCGAGTTTGTTTTCCTCACTTTGCTCCTGGTTATTTGTTTTTCCTGCGACTGCTTCTTGCTCATAACGCGGTGTTTTGGTAGGTTTCACCGATGTTTTAGAATGTGACCTTTTGTGTTTCCGGGACAGACCGGACTCCGAAACTGACAGTGGGGTAGATGAGCATGGAACTTGCGTGATCTCCTGTATTGGTGTTGTGTTTATCACCCCTCTGCATAATAAAATATATGACCAGAAAATATTAGTGCGTTAGCACATGAAGATTATCTCCTTTTAGACGGTCGACTTTACTTACCCGCAACGGATCAAGTTAGCCGATGGTTAGGATCTCAAACTTACTGGAAACACTTGAATTGAAAAATCATTTGCGTGTTTCCAGCTCAACTCAAAAATGTGCTCTTCAATCAGCTCGTCAGTTGGCTGAGACGATACCAAAAATGAGAAGCTTGCGTCCGTATCTAAAAAGTAGTTACACTAATTGAGTAAAACTTATCAATCCACTTTGGCACATAGAAATCCATCAAAAAAAGAGGCGTTTTAATGAACTCGACCCAGCTGCAAATATATTCGTATCGACCATGGCGTACCAACCGGCTCACACGTATAAGTAATTGAATGCCACATTTTTATCGGCCTAATAAACGCTCAATTTTTCTGGCAAATCTTTTGCTAGCGTGCCCAAACACCCTCTCTGAAAAATGCCTATCGCCTTCGCTATATTTTGTTCTCTTTGCCTAGGAATTACGCATATCTGTGAATAGATATTTGTACCTTATGAACGTTGTAGTTTAGGTATTAAATATCAATTGCGATTGTACTATTGAGATAATCTCGTAAATTATGCCTAAAGAAGTGTTCAACAATAAATATTTCATGGCTGCATGGCCAAATTTGTTTTTTATTTAAGAAAAATATATTTAATTATTGAGTAACTTGAATCAAATATATAAAAAATGACTTACAATGACAACTACCAACGATGCGCATGTCCTTCGCGCTTATAACGACAATAGCGAAAATAGCGGTTATATTTAGATTGACGCTCACGTACTTTTGGTTGTGCATTTCTCATGTGCACTTGAATTACCAACTTGAAGTCATGAATAATGTGTATGGTTAATTTATGGTTGCATCACGCAGAACTCCATCGATGGTATCACATGAAAAAGAGCGTTTTGGATCACATCGTGCGCAATCACGTTCTCATGATTATTTTGCTTACTTTGGCTTCTCGTCGACACTCATTCTTATTGCGAATCGTTGCGTTGAAGCTGCACAATCCGGCTCTTGGGTTAGGTTAGATCAAGCGAATTTCGGTTCGGATTAAAACTGATGCGTTTGTGGTACGCCCTTTTTTGATACAAATCTGGCTACCAAAAAATGACTTCGTTGTTACTACGAAAAAATGTGTGGAGTACTAAGGCAAGGCTGAAAAAATGTAACGAAAACTGGCACAAGATGCATGCAAAAGCTTCACTCCTAATTAGCCGTGATACTACATAATCTAATTTCAATTTTGAATTGGCCTTGTTCCAGTCATCTGTACATAGAGCTTCCCTGACTGGCGCAGGAAATTACTTCCCACAAATGCTTGGAGCTTTCTCTCATTTTAAAACGTTGTTCTGTAATCGACCTTTAAACTGTGAGTCAGGATTTGAGGTGGGTATGTACGGTGCTTAATGTAGATTAGACCTTGAGGCCCCGCTTATCATACACCGTCTCCGTCATAAGGCCCACTAGGCAACCACGTGACTGGACCTATGGAAGCTATGAGATGCGCTCCAGGTGCTATATTAAGACATTATGTGGGATCTACTTGACTTCTCCCGGTGAAAAATAGACTGTGAATCCAATTTTTGGCTCGCAAACTCGTCCGTATCCTTTTGCCATTACCCTTAACCATGTATACTTGCTGGCGTCTTAGCTACTTCAATCCAACCGAGACGTCATATTTCAGCCTTTGTTATTACCATCATGTTACGTAAAATGTATATATGCTTCAGTTGATAATCTTAATATGCGTTCTGCAGGGATAGCAGCGAAATTATCCTGATTAATTCTTTCGGGGGGCCATGAAATACTTTTATGTTGGAGGGTTTTTGACTTGTTAACATTGTCTCGTCTTGTTGCTTGCATAAGCTGTTAGCTTTCCCCACTGTAGTGCCTAATCAAAATAGGAGTCAGGAACATTGAAATTTTCATAAGATATAGAAAAACCAAATTATTTGAATAAATACATTTTTTAATTGTTCCACTTCTTAAAATTTGAGAGCCCGTCTCAATTATTTTGTCACATTTGTAAAATACAGGTGTATACACTGAGAGTAAAATATTTGACTTAATTATTATTAAGTATCAATTTACTCGACTTTCTCTATGAGATGCACAGTCTAAGGGAACTTTCCGTCGTTTAAAATGCATTCCATGATTCCCCTGTATACGTCACATTACAAAGATAGTTTTTCTAGTCCGATCAAAAGATCTTCAAATGGAAGTTTAAATTATGACTTAGACTGGGATTTATCCATCTTCTTTTTAGCCCTTTTGTTTCGAGCTCCGATGAGTGCTCTAAACGGATGACAGTTGGCTAAGTACATGGCTTATCCGCAGTTGCTCACCTGTCAGGGGCTGTGGGATACGAGCAATGAAACTGCTGGCTGAATCAGTCAACTCAGGTGTGCCTTGTCCTATTTCAGCTCAGCTGCGGTATCATATTTAGTCTACACATTTGTTATACTATACTGCTAATAACTCAACTTGATCCTGAGCGTACGTGGCGCTTAATACAGATATGGGTATCATTAAAGAAAGTAATTTCAATTGGATTTAATGCAGAAGATGAAGTTCTTAACCACATTGTTTCTCCAGGCACAATCAAGTAGAAACTTGTGGATATTGTGTATTTTTATAGCAACTGCCTGTACTGTCCGACACAGGTCAAATGCTTTATAAATTGTTAGCAATATACTTTCTGCCGCTAAGCATCTTTTCAGTTGCTAAAACACAAGTATTTATACCGAAGTAAAACATTCGTTATTTACTTCGCCTTTCTCAAAGGATAATCTCATTCTTATATGATTGGCTGAGGTCCTTATGGGGTAGCACAATCGAGTTGATTATGACCACTTCTGAGCGCACGGAAACATTGCATCCCAGAACCGTTATAGATGGGTTGAGTCTGCCATCATTGTTAAACAATGGCACGTTGTCCATTTTCGAGAAGGCCTTATTTGGGTTAGGATCGCACGCTGTCCCCTCAACCTATTATACGGACGGTCAAGAAAACAAAAACGACGCTCTGTATTAGAATAAAAGATGAAGATCGTCAATTAATTCTACGAGATTGTGTAGTTTACACATTTTTTCTTTCTGCAAGATTTACGCTTAAATGTTTGATGGAATGATGTAATTATAAATTTAGTTTTAGAGCTTTGACTAACAGAAGCGACTACAGAAATGACCAACATGTTAGCTCGCTCCACACTTATCATCTGAGAAGCAGAAAAGGACAAACTGACAAAATGCAGCGATCTTGATCCTTTCGTGGGGTCAGCTCTTACAATGTGTCACCTAAAGAGTTTATTGTACACAGTACAAACCCTGGCCCAAGATCCGATAGCGGAGTTCCAGCCGATTATGCTATTCTTTACAAGGCTATGATCTCCTATCACAGTGTTCCCGAGGATTATACTCTCGCATAAACGAACTCCACGTCCCACAGTAACCCCCTGGCTGACTGATACATTTGGTCCAATTACAGCACTTGAATGAACGTTGGCCGTTGGATGAATATAAACATCGCCTGTAAACCAGTCAACCGACAGTAACAAATTTAAGAATAAAATAATTAGAACTAGTTTTACAAAGACAAGATAATCTAGTCTCAATCTAGATAATCTAGTAGTCAGACAATTTAATGGAACTAAATAATCGGTCTTAGATTTGTTTACGTTAAGCATGCTCATTTTACCATAGGAGCTCTGCGCAAGTTTAAATTAACTTTACTATGAACATTTATATATAACTAAGTAGAATTGGCAAACCACTGTATTTAACCTTACTATTTCACAGATAGTAATCAAAGCTTTTGTAGAATTGAAATTGTCATAGTTAAATGTTATTTGTTTTGCGCTACGTTAGTATCCTCAGCATGCATTGATCTCGTACTATTCTACCGTATATACGTGTGTCCTCTTAAAACATACCAATAATTTTGGGGCCGTTTGGCGTCTGGAGCGTCAGTCTCTCATCCTTGCGGTTGTTGTACATTTCGAGATAGTGTCTATTTGCATAAATGGCTGAGCCTGCTGTTTTAATCTGTGTCCAAAAGCGTTCGGTCTTGAAAACATGACACGTTCTCGAACTGCCAGCTAATTTCGTGAGAACGTCAAACTCAAGTGATATGGTCTCCGAGTCTTCACCTGTCCTACGGGCGTATCTGGGTGCCGCCCGTTTACTCTTGTACACCTCTCCGAGATAAAGGAAGATATCTGCTGAGCATACATAACTAACAAAGAGTTCTTTGAGAAAGAACGTTCCATATTCTTCTGTTATGTAGAAACATTCTAAAAATTATTAGAATTTAAATATCTAGCCATTAGAGATTGACGCGCACTAGAACATGAAAAAACAGTAACTCGTAGTATTTTGATCTATTTATTTTCTTTTTGCCAACTTGAGCTATTCGTTCTTCAATTTCTTGATATTATTTAAAATAAAAGAACGGTACATCTTATACTGGTATAAGCGGTATAACGTCACAGGCATGCCTCCATTAGAAAGCCTGCTTGGAGCAGGGCTTGCTGGACTTGTTTGTGATCTCTACAACGGACCTGTGGAATGGCGTGGTAACCACACAAACAGCTATTAACCTTGATAAAAATGGATTATTTTTGTTTAATTCAATATTTGTTATGCTAAGTGACTCAATATTAATTCCCTATTCTCTCTATATTAATTTCAGGTAATCATTTTTACCGACGTTGAAATTTCAACCAGCATAGCAGCATGTTTGTCAGTCAAGATTACCATGGCTATGCGCTTGAATGAAAAAGTGCGCATTAATCAACCACACCGGTCCTAAATGACGCTTTTAGCAAAATTTCCATTGACATATTTAATATCTAGCACACAGCACATATGTTCCTATCATGAACTATTAGTACAGAAGCTGATTGCCTCAAGTTCTAGAGTTATAATCGTTTAGCGAAATACTTAGACTATTTACCCATTTTAGTGCGTAAGATTGACAAACTGTGTAACACTTACACTCCGCAGTTAATAGTGCTGCTCACAAAAATCGAAGGCTTTTCAACATAGTGAAGAATTTCGCCAGTATCTTGTTGGGCAGCGATGCAGCCATAGTTCACACTTTGCGATCGAGTCGCTTCTGTACCCAAAACGGTAATCAAATTTGTTTTAGGACGAGTAAGATGAAACTCCACCTACAGAAAGCGTTTAAGAATGGGTGTATTAGGAGGTAATTAGTCAAACAATATTTAAGGCATAAGTGCATACTATGTTTGTCTTCTTAAACAGTGCTAAAGCATAAGGTCTAAATAAACGATTTATTAGGTTAAATGAATTATGTTAGATCCCTCGAAAACCTACATTTTTAACAGACAGGAAAAAGGTATCATTCGGATTGGCCCAGGGCTACTTACAAGGCTTTTAAGAGGGAAGTCGCCACAAACATCACCATTGATTAATAGAAAGGCATCAGGGTCGCCTGACATTATTTGATCCCGGAAATTATAGATGCCTAAAAAATAGAGCAAAATTATTTTTACACGCTGGTATCATTGTTTAATTCTCTATGTTAGTCTCTAATTATGGCAATGGATAAAACTATTTTTGAAATAAGCAGTGCGTGCTATTTATTTACAGACGCACTTGAATGATCTTTCTTTTTCGATTTGAATAGTGCAGTGTATTGTTTAGTTGTGATTAATGGAACTTCAACTCATACCTCCCGCTGTTCCCAGTGGGCTAAACTCCTGTAGGTATCTTATCGAAAGGTTATACTGCTTTGACATCGATTCCACAAACAGCGAAATCTGATCAACCGGATAGAATCCAAGCAGCAGGATCTCCTTCATGACTATTGCAAGAAAAAACAAATTAGTAGCTGCTTGTTCCCAACCAACACTTCCAAATTTACTTTCTGATCTCCATAATAGGTCGCCTAATTTATACTACTTACTCTTGTGACCATATGAAACATCGCATTTAATACCAGCTTACCTGGAACCGCACAACAGGCTTCAATGAGATGCTGAAGCACGGGAAAGCCTGCAACAGGGAAAAGTGGTTTTGGCATATCAAAGGACAGCGGACGGAAGCGGGTCCCCTTTTGGGGCCCTCCAATGAGAATTACCGACTTGAACATTTATCGGCGATAGTTATTGTTCACCTCTGTAACACATCAATTAAAAAAAAGTAATCAGTCCAGGAACAAGTTGAAACAACCACTTAATGCGTAAAATTTAGCTTAGTTACATCCCTTTACTAGAATTTTGCTCATACTAAGCTAGTAAGACTTAAATCTCATTTGAAATTGTTAGTACAAACATCTTGAATCGAATCCACCGCGTATTACAGCTATGGCTGGATCGTCATAGCGATAATGAGCCACTAAGGAAACAGATGCACACGAATATCTAACGTTTTCGCAGTTTTTATTAAATACCAGTATAAACAAAGAGTGTCAACCCACGTTTTTAAACAGTTGCAACAGAATTCCAGCACTCCCAAGATTAACACTATAAAAGGAAGAAACAAGAAGTCAGCACAGTTGAAACACCTAAATGACGTAAGTGTCCACATTCAATATCTCAAAGGTCTATGATTTTTGAGGTATATTCACAACGTCTATTTTATATATTCTAGTAAACTAGTCTATCTGTGAAACAATTTTTGACCTACCGACTGATCGATTTTTGCCTATTCTTCAAGTAGTTAAAAAACATAGTTCCCAATTCCTGCTTGATGCTTTCAGCAGTGAAGTCTACGACTTGGAGTGCCTATATACTATGCAACGATTTTTATAGGATTCGAAGTCAGCGCGCATTAGATTTCGCTCGCTCTGACTAGCTTATACTTAGACGCTCTCCCTCTCTTCCCACACTTTCAATTACCGGGCCTATCACGATGACACAACTTACATTAGAATATAGTAAATGTGCAGTTAATACATTCGTCATATATATGCAAACAACTATTTTGCTATGGTCATAAACGCGAGCGCATTATGGATGCCTCTGGTTCAATCGGTACACATCAGTTACCGTTCTCTGACAGGTGGCAAAGCGATCTTTTGGGAAGGCCATGCTTTACCCGGAACTTAGCGTAAGACGGCACGATCATTACTGTATGTGACTGATTTATCCTTATATTGTTATTATTTCCTAAAATTGCAATAATACTGCTTTACGTATTAACAAAGTGGTGATAATAGTACGAAATAAGCTTACAACGGTAAACCATTCGTATACCTCAAGCTGTTGAAGCAACTTCCGGGTGATTCAGCACAACCATCGTCGTGGTCGCTCGAATGTGCTGTCGTGGAGCGCCAGACGACACCCGTGTTCTAACTTACGTCGAGAGTCCGTTATTTGTAAAGACTCGTTTCGTATATAAGTTCTCGTGTAAAACGTAGCAAACTTTCAACTCATACGAACCGCTGATGAAATAAATGATTGTACGACTAAAGCCAGCTCGCGTACTTTCAGGTGAACACGGGTGTCGTGTTCCGACAGCAGTTGTACGAGCCTTCTGTGAGACTGCGAGAGCTGGTGGGGCAAAATGGGATTTGTCTGAGTTCTTTGCTCGAACTCCGCAGCTATCGACGGTATGTACCAGCGTTTAGTTTATGCGTGTAGAGTTTTTTGCGACACGTCACAGTCGGACTCAGTTGTTTGGGTGCCAACACATACAGCAATGGTGTTGCATATGGTTGCCGTATCTTTACCGAGAAACACTGCAGGATACGAGCTTACAGTGCCTTGTGAACTGTTCCATTGGGTAAATGCAGCTTAGTGGCCGATGTGATGATTTCTGAGAGGTCTTGGTGTTTGTTTGACATCTAAATCATTAGCAGTGGCAGTGACATGTACATTGGTCACCTGATTCTTAGTTGCACTACTGATGTATTTATAATTTTCGGCTAAAATATTTTTACTTCCTGGAAAAGAGAATACAAAAGAAGGGTCTACGAAGGAAAATCAGTTTGACAGCTCGATTTCAAGTTGCTATTTCACCGCGCGAACTTTAGTATGGGCCTATCCATAGGATATGCTCATAGATGTTCGTATCTGGAATGCGACTTCTATAGCTGTAGTTCATTTTTTGGCTGTACAGTTATGACAAGACGAACTTGACCACGCAATTAACGTGCAACCTATGCTTCGTAAATGTAAATGTTTCATTGTATACCTGCCTAGCCAAATTGCGTGCCTAATTACTGTTTGCCTTATCTGAGCTCGGGAAATCTGTTTAAATATAAATATCCTGTTGACAGGCTGTAGCCTACGTACTGAAGAATAGTTTTTCTAAAATGTTCATTTTACGTATATAGTGCTTTCCTAAATATAGAATAATATGTATGACATGGCACCAACGACAACACAAATACAGAGATGACATGTTGCATTGTGATTTTAAATTCAACCAAGTATGGAATTGGGCAACGATAATAGTATTGATTTGATGAGGTGAAAAATAATGCATCCATTCAAACAGCAGGTATTTTTTTAAGTAAGGGGGCTGGCGAGATTGTTGTGTAGATCAGAATTACTATATATCACTTTGGAATAATAATTGCAAGAACGGTGGTGAAGACGTAACGATACATGAATAAAGCCTCTATTGAATATGATATAGCACAGCTGACTTTTGCGTCTTGTTTCATGGCGACTTGATTACGTTTAACTTAGCTTAGTAATTAGATATAAATCTATCCAAGACATTTCATATATTTAGGTTTTTCCGTACACTCAGCAATGCTTGAGCGGTACTCGAATACCGAAAAAGAGAGGATGCTATCTATTGTATACTACAGTAATCCACCTGAGCAGTTGATGTGCAATACCGCAGCTGCGATTATGCTCTTTGTGCATAGGTGTCTTACAGTTACTGGCTAGCAGCGTCTATCTACTTAAATTAAGAAAAATTGTGACTGATTAAGAAGCCATAGAGCAGGCAGAGTTCAAGCCATTGGTCGAGTCGAATGAATAGGTTTTTTACGGCTAGTGCTCTCCTTATGTAATTAGCTGAGTTCGGTCTATCGCAGACGAATGAATCAGAGCTAACTCTTAGACGTACTGTTGAACTTGGGTTAAATGTTGTTAAATATCTGAATATGTCACCGATTGTCTTTCCGCTATGCTTGGTACAGTAAATGTTCAACTCATAGATTAGCTCTAATCCATTAGCCATGACAGTAGAGCTCACAGGAAAAAGCTTAAATGAGCGTTTGTATGAGTATGAGCATGAGGGTAGTGTGTCTTATCAAAATGTAAACGATCTTTATATGAAAGAAGAAAATTCTGGAATTTCATTAGCAAGCTTGAAACAATATTTCCCTTAAGGAAAGCCCCTTAGGTTTTTTGACTTCTCGTGCCTATTGTTTGTAATGTGTGACAACGCAAATCGCAGCTTAATAAATACTGTCTTCGAACTGTTAAATATCAGAACGGCTAAACAGGTTCTATGTTCCATGCTTTTTGACGCGTTTATTAATTGCTTACCTTGTCGGGTATGGGTTATTAAAGATTATGTAGTCCATTTCATATAGGACCTCAGTACCATAGTGATCTATTTATTAGGAACAGTTAAAAAATCATTCTACTCAGAGTGTCCTGTTGTAATGGAGATTCAATAGAGAAACGAATGAAGTACTTCCAGTAGGCTCAAAAATGAGTAAGTGTATTGCGCTGCCGAATAACTGATCTTACTTGTGTTGCAGACCGCGTCCTAGAAGAAGGCGCGATGGCGAAGTACATGGTGATGGGGGAGATATCCCTCATGAGTGCTATTCTTCGGCGCAGCATGAGGTACTCCCACCAAAACGAAAGTATTGAAGAACTCATTCGAAGCTTCTCATCTCTTAAGGTGAATATGTATGACCTTACAAGTGTGTATGTGAAGACACTACGAGAATAACAACCATTTTCAGATAACCATCACTTGCAGCAAATGAAAACTTCTAGCATATTTAGTAAGGGCCCGTTTGGTGTAAAGAACAAAATCAATTTTTGTTTTGTCATTTGCAACTGCTTTGAATTTGTATACGTTATTTTTATAACTCAATTAGAAAGCAAGATTAAAGTTGAAATAGAAAAAGAGTTGGAAGTTTTTTGTCACTTGCAATTATATTTTTAAGTGAAGAACATGTTTTATTTAAAAGAATGCTTTAGCAGATACAGGTATATTATTTAGAGTTTTGAAATTCGTATCCTTCAAGTTACATATCTCTTCGGACCAATGGATGGCAGAAGTCGTTTCTTTGAACTTTTCAGGACATTTTAAGTCGACAAAGCGAGTTGTCGGACCTTGAGCCATCAATATATTTCTCGCCATTTCTGGACGTCGTTCGATCTGAAGAGACAACCGGCTCTGTAACGGCGATGGCACTGACAGCTATCGCAAAGTTCCTACAATATGGGCTCATCGATCATAGGTCCGCTGTAACTTCGAATAAAATCATTTGCTACAACCCAATCCTAAAGTCACTAAGAACACCTGATGAACATATTATAATATATGAAGTTGGATTTGTTACCGGTGTGTTCTTTGATTGCATCTATAATGTCTCAAAGTTCTCCTGTAACTTAACCTTTTCGACTAGTTATATTAAATGGAACTAATAAAAATGAGGTCGAAATACGCTATTAAAAATAGGCTCTAGAGGGCCGACTGCTTCCAGCACGAAACGTAGTGCATTTATGCCCAAATTCGAACCTGGATGACCTCATCATATGTCATTAAGTTTAGTAGACACGTCACAGCTACACCAATCATCCAACCTAAAACCCAGTTCGTTATTAACTCGTCTTAATATTTTGAACACTCGGTTACATTACCTTCGATGTATTCGGTAGTTGTTCTCACATGAAGGTAAATATACATTAATAGAAACAATACTTACAGGCTTGAGTCGGCGGCAGCGACCGCTGAACAAATCGTTCTGGCGATGAAGAAGATTAGCTACATTTCGGATGATATCGCATCGGACGAGGTTGTTATCATGAAATTTTTGCATGTCATTCGCAGCCTACTTCTCTCGCAGATCGGTTGTCTACTAAGTAACAATGGAGTGTGCGAACTTATTCAAGCAATTATTAAAATTATATTCGACGCCAGTTTTGGAGTCCTCATGAAAAAGATGGCTGAACAGACATGGGGCGAAGTTGTACAGCTAATGTTCGCACGCTTGCCTACGTTCAGCGAGGATGTGCATGATGATATGCAGCTAAAACAACTTCGCATTCGAGGAAACGGCACAAGCATTGAGCACCGTCACAGTCAGCGACGTAGAACAGGTCCTGGCCGTATGAAGAAAACTAAAACTCAGGAAGAAATGCCGTTTAGTATCGGTAATACGCCTCGGGAGAAAGTAGTACTCGGCTCAAGTAAACCACTTGAACACGATGCTAGTGAAGTACTGGAACTTGCTGTTCAGCCAAAGGCAGCAACAGGTACCAGTGGCCATGAGGCTACGCAGCCACCGTCTCAGCATGAAATGCAACAGGAGAGCACTGAGCACAACGAAGTGAGTACTGTTTCAGCAGAAATGATGGCCTCAGCCAGGAAGTACGGCAACGAAGACCACCAGTCTCTTGATGAGAACACCTCGGGAGAAGTGGAGAGGAAGTCGAGTATATCGAGCGAGGACAGAAAGACCGACGACGTCGAGATTATGAACGGCGAAATGAAGGGAGGTGCGGGGGACGCGGATGAGACAGAAGGCGGACTCAGTGAAAGTGTCGAAATTGTGTCAAGGGACTCAATCGACGAAGGTGGCCATATTGTCCATCTGTGTGGGAGCGTTAACTCGCTTAATGAACTTGATCATCATACGGATGAGGCCAGTGTTGACGGAAATGTACAGGTTAATTTTGTCTCCAGAATCACTTATACTGATTAAGAGGAATACGTTTATGTCATTTCATTAATCATAAATAAATAAAAAATATACTTTTTAGCTATGTAACCGCACCAATGTGGAATAGAAATGTGTCCGGCTAGAGTAATAGGATGACAGATTTATACAGTTACTAAAAGGACGGTAAATAGAATTTTTATAATTCTCAGAAATTCATAACTGAACAATTGCAGGGCGCGGCATCTAGTGATAAGGACTTCGTAAGTTCACGCGGAGTTCGATTTACGCCGACGTCGAATGGTGATCGAGTGCCTTATGGTTTGTCGTCCATCAAAGAGCTCCTCAAATTCATTTCTATCATCATCTGCCCTCACGAACCATATAACAATCCCGAACAAATTATTTTACTCGGGTTGGAACTTATGACGATTGCTCTCGAGGTTGGCGGGAGGCATATTGGAAATTTCCCTTCGCTTGTCGAACTCGTGAAGGACGATATCTGTAAAAGTCTTCTTGCAGTACGTACGCGCTCGGTCAATGGTTATTCAACTAAAAAATGCTTCTTTAGCTCTGCTACCTTAGCTGTGTAGAACATGATTATTTGTAATCAATACGTAGTCTCGAGCTTATTGCATCTTTCGGATTAATCATTGTAACAACATTTGATGAGACAGCCGCTCAAGGCTTTTTTTTTAAAGAATTGACAAATAATCATACTACTAGTAAACGTAAGGCGATAGAGGCTACTTCAAATACGACACCCATGCTCAGTAGTTGAATAGGAATGATTCGATATCAGTATGCTGAGGTAGTACCTTTGTGAAGTTTCAATATTTGTGAAACATAGTAGTTGTCATAAGTTTAGATTGGTGAGTTTTACAAAAGTTTATTCACTTGACCACTTTTGGTGTTTTCTGGTGGTTTTCTATTTTACAGTTGTTGAAGACTGAACGCATTGGTATTCTCGTTGCGACAATGCGAGTTTGCTTTCTACTTTTCGAGTCGTTGCGGTCCCAGCTGAAGTTTCAGCTTGAGAGCTATCTGCTTAAGCTCATCGAACTAATCACCTACGAAGGACCAAACAAGGTAAATCAGTAGAAACAATGAAGGCAGCAAGTAATCATGGTTGTTTTGTTTAGCTGCAGTGTAAACGCTCTGCTTGATAACTGCTTTCTAACTATTTGCCTCATACATTTGTTTCCAAAGTATTTTCGTATAGTCACCGTCATGCTACGAGTACAATGTTTTCGGTAATTGATAAGTGAGCTTTATATGTATAGACCGGAAATGAACCAGAAATGAAGGACATCTTTATTAAATTATTTGGCCTTGCATGCTGGTCTGCATTGTTTTTCCGTTCCAACATAAGTTAAATTCATTGAATTGCCAATAAATCAAACCTGGATTTCACGTTATCCATTATAGATGAGTTACGAAATCAAGGAATTGGCAATCGACAACATCGTTTCGCTTTGGAGAATTCCGGGTTTCGTAACTGAGCTGTATTTAAATTACGACTGTGACCTCTATTGTTCCAATTTATTTGAAGATTTAACAAAAACACTATCAAAAACAGCGTTTCCAGTCACCGCCATTTATAGTGAGTACAAAATCACTCTCTACATTTATTTTGGACTAACGTTCTTAACACTCGCTTTACAAACAAGTGTTTTTATACCATATATTTATTTTCGTTACATTCGCAATATTCTGTCGCAATATCATTAACCAATTGTTTGATAGGTGACAATGTATATATGAATTTCTAAAAAGTCATGCAGTACGCGCTTGCATAATGTATTCCTTAGAATTCATATTGTGCCTTCTGACATACACGATCTAAGAACAGTGCCAATATTTTTGTTATTATTATCGTTCTCCCTATAGGTGTTCACCACCTATCGCTCGAAGCTCTGCTGGCAGTTATTGACTCCGTTGAAACCCACTGTCATTTCATGATGGTATCGTCAAAGGACCATGACAACAAAGAGTCGAAGTCAAATAATAGCAAAAGTAGCGATGAGTCATTGGCAGCAGGTCGGAAAAAACTCCTACGACCAGTTGCGGCTTCGGGCGTGCAATTGGCAGCTGTTGTCCATGCCGCGAATAAAGACGAAAATACACATAACAATTCCGGCGCAACTCACGCAAATGTAGAGCGGAATAGTTCAGAGAACGATGATAGACCAGTTATTCCTAGCCATGAGGAGGTACATATTTAGTATTAGCCGATACACAGTCAACAAAAAATGTGAAAGGATCGTTTTCAATATCATGCAACTGACAAATGGGTCCTGCTGTAGTTTTGTTCTTCTTTACGCAGTTTCAGGCATCAGGTTTTGTGTAACGATAACCCTTCATGTTCTAGAAATTTTTCAATAGTTGTACGTGGCCGACATATATTAGGAATTTTTGTCGTAAATATTTTCTCCCTGGAGAAAAGGATAAATTATGGTGGAGCTGTTTGAACTCGCCGGCAGTGCTGATAATATGAAGACGACTTTTCTCTTTCCTCACTGTTTTCTACAGGTAGCGGCCATTAGGCATAAGAAACGACTTCTGCAGCAAGGCACTGAACATTTTAATCAGAAACCATCGAAAGGTATCGATTTTTTGATGGAGAATGATATCTTGCCACGAACATTCAGTCCGGAAAAAGTGGCAGAGTTTCTTCGTTCGAACTATCAACTCGACAAAATCAAAATCGGTGACTATATTTCAAATCGGAAGAACGTCGACTTGCTGAAAGCCTTTATAAAATCATTTAATTTCACGGATACGAGAATTGATGAGGCATTAAGGATGTACCTCGAAACCTTCCGGCTTCCAGGAGAAGCACAGCCGATCTCGCTCATTCTGGAACATTTTGCTGAGCATTGGCACGTGAGTATATTTAGCAGCAAAATGAGTGGGCTAGGTGAACAAGGGACTAAGGATTCACTTCTGGGCTAAAAATAAATTCGATTTGCCCTTTTCATTCATTTTGATCTTTGGACGTAATCACGAGCCATAGATGTTGAATAATGGAAATTATTTATTTCAGAGTGCTTCCATAGAATCACATTATTGCATTATTTTATCATTTCCAGGCAAGTAACGGTGAACCTTTTGCGTCGGCGGATGCAGCATTTACGTTAGCCTACGCTATTATAATGTTAAACGTGGACCAGCATAATCATAACGTCAAAAAGCAATCCACGCCGATGACTGAAGAGGATTTCATTAAAAATCTTAAGGGTAACAATTTAGAATATAAAAGACGATTCCCTTACTAACCTGTACACATTTTGTAGATCACGCATTTTTTTAGGATATTTCTAAAGCCGTTTTTATTCATGTTTTATACTAAATAGCTATGCGCAAATAAAGAAAAACCAATACTCGTTAGGGCGCAACACATAGCATGGTAGGTAGTGCATCCAGTGACATTAACGGTTCCCAGTAAAAACACTTTCCGTCGACTCATACAAACCTTTAAACCTTCAAATACCAAACGCATATAAAAACCTCGGCTGTTGCAAGTGCTTAAGCAAATAGTTCACAGAGACACAAAGCGTTCAGGCTTTTTTGAGCCATTAAATATATTGGACCGTGAGCACTAAAATCCGAATGTATTTTTTTCGCTCTGTTATTATGGTTTTCCGTTAATTATACGATTGTAGTTAGCTTTTGTGTGGCTTGTTCCAATTCGAACAATTGCTATAATTTTTTTTTCTGTTAGGTTCGCCTATTCTGCAGAATGGCCTTCTGCATGCCGCAGGTACTGTCTATTGTTCATTAGTTTATTGGAACTCATACCCAGAAAATTAGCTCTAATTTATCTCTTACTGATAGCAGTTAAATAAAATGAGGTCACATTAGATGAAGCTCTTTTTTCCTCATCCCGCCCGCCATAAGGCACAACAGAGGTCGCTCACTCTTTTTCACGATCTTTTTATTGTACAGTTATATATAGTATGAATGACTTATTGCACAACGAACAGTGGTTACAGCATATTTGGAAGACTAGATCACATTGCAAGACAAAAATTTAGTAGCAACAGAAGATTTATTGAGTGTATGCTATTCTGAGCAGGAGTAAATGGCGGAGCCGATTTTGAACGTTGTCTTCTCTCGGATATCTATGAAGCTATCAAGACAGATGAAATAGTCATGCCCGCGGAACAAACCGGAATCGTTCGTGAGAACTATCTCTGGAAAGTGCTCCTAAAGAGAGGGGCCTCTCCTGAGGGCAGGTATGTATACGCTATCATCTCCCATTCTAGACTTGAATCTTTCCGTTGATCTATATATAACTGAAGAAAATACCGTCCATTCTTAGCTCTGTTCTCCGTCCATGCTGTATTGTAGGTTTATGGAGTGTGATGCAGTAGGCTGTGGAGTCCTAGACGACGAAGTGTTTAATTTGGCTTGGTCGCCCACTTTAGTCGCACTTTCCTATCTCCTCGACAAAGTTGTCGATGACTCTCTACTCACCCAAAAGCTAATGGCTGGCTATCGGAAGTGCGCCACGATCGCGGCTCACTACGGACGAACCGAGGTGTTCGACCATCTTATCCAGGCGCTCTACAAGTACACTGGTGAGTCCAGCTGAGCCGCGGCTGCGCCGCGTACAGCTATGCTGTAGAGGAAGTCCGAACTGGAATACATATAAAGATTATATAACAAAAATCACTATTTAAGCACTTTGAATTGCCTAATGGAATATTCATCGGGTCAGTTTTTTTTATGTGCCTATGCTTATAATTCTCTCATGTCGCATATATGAGTAAATGTGTAATCGCCTTTATGCTTCTACGCAACTATCGTACAAGATGTTTTATTTCCAACCTATCGAGTTATCTTCATTATTGTGAGGGTGCTTGCTTTAGCCTTATGTTTTATAACTTTAGAAAGAGCATGTAAACGCGTTCTCTCTGTAAAATTGTTCGAGTATTTGTGCCACGTATCGAAAAAAGAATATTAAGCACGATGATGGACGAATTGCTACTCCATTTATCCGTAACATGAGGAAAATTGTAGACATACGTATACACACTTTTTTTTTATGTCTGCTATTGTTGGTGAGGTCATTTATCTCTTTAATGGCGTTAATCGTCACTGGGTATTTGCTGCAGGCATCTCCTCAGCGGATTCTGTATCGGGAGTTCTCCAAGCATTAGGCGGAGACCAACGTGCTCAGTTAACAGCAAAAATGATGTTCACTCTGGCGCACAAACATGGTGACGTTATGCGTGATGGTTGGCGACAGCTCGTTGATTGCTCGCTTATTCTTTATCGAGCTGGTTTAATGCCGGCCAGCGTAACTACGGCTGATGACTTCGTCGAACCCAAAGGCTTCGTATCGATTGCTCGGCGCAAGCCTGAACCGGGTCGGACGGAACAAAGCGGCGGAGGCCTGTTCAGTAGTCTCGTCTCGTACATCACCTCATCTGAGAGTGCCGCTCAACGGGAACAAGAGGTGCAACTTCGAAAAGTCGCTGAGACGTGCGTTATAAACTTTCATCCGGACTTCATTTTCTCGGAGTCGACATTCCTCCGCACCTCAGCACTCGAAGAGCTTGTGCGCGTATTGATTGCATCATGTCCCGTCCCACCGTCACACGCGTTTGTGAACTCAGATTTGGCAAACGGTAGCGTCGCCAATGCTAGCTATGATGAAGAATCGACAATCTTTGGCCTTGAGCTACTAGTGAAGGTCGTTTTAAAGAACAAGGATCGTGTACATGCAATTTGGGCTCCAGTTCGTGATCACCTTGTGGCACTCGTTATGGGCGCAGCTGCAAGAGATTACCGTCGACTGCTGGAGCGCGCCGTTGTGGGTATGCTTCGTTTAGCCCTTCGCCTCTGCAAGGGAGACCAAATGGGCTCACAAGCATTGCAAAATCTTGCGATGCTGCTATTGCTCAAACCGGCTACCGTCCGAGCGGTCGCTAGACAGATCGTCTATGCTGTTCACGAGCTGTTGCGAACGTCCGCTAGCTGCTTAACGAGTCGTGCCGATTGGCAGACGTTGTTCGCACTTTTGTCGGTCGCCGGAGCGGGACTCAAGCCGTCGTCACAAGCTCTCATGCTCGACAGTGAACTTCTAGTTAAAATGGCAGCCACCTGTGCGGATATAAGGGTGCGTATCCTACTACTCAGTTATACTGCTGTTATTATGAAATTACTGTTTTTGCATTGTTTGTCGAAAATAGTAATTTTGGAAATAACAGAGCTGCTGTTATTTGTTTGCGTATAGAGTTCAGATAGCCAATCGTACGATAGTGGAGTGCAAAGCGATTCTGAAATGGGATCTTTGAGAAGAAGCACCTCAACCGTCTTAGAGCAGGATCGGGGCTACACCTCCGATAGCGAGATCAGCACCCGAACATCTAAACACCATTTGCACCACAATAGCGGCCATCAAGTGCACAACAGTCAACACGATAATAATCGCCACTTCAGCACGAATATTACGGGCAGTTGGATAGTGGTACGTATGCACGGGCAAAAGTTTTCTACAGTTAATCCCATGAAGCAACTAAGACTTATTTATTCTAACTCTGTCAATTTTGTACAGTGATGATGCTGAATCGGCTTAGATAGATTTATTTTATAAGAGTTCACAGCAGCTTCACTTATTCAATTAATTTATGCTCCACCAATATTTGGGTTTCTGCGACGAAATTCATCGAAATTACTTCTTTAAGATTTTTTTATATTTGACGAATTGCAGGTTGGACAGGAGGAAAGTTCACCTGCAAAAACCGGTGGCTGTTCTATCAACCAGTATACGATAAGCCTGTCAGGCTGTGAGTTGGTTCCCCACGACGCCTACGCGATGACCAAGGCTGCAAAGTGTCTCACCCAGCTTATCCGAGACTCTGGAGAGGCACTGGGCGCAGGAGTTGATGAACGAAACGTCGAAAGTTGTATTCGCTGTTTACGGGTCTTTGTAGAAGCAAGCTTACACACCAAGGTTTGTGCATTGCCTGTTTTAATATGATAGCGCTCTCTAACGTATTTAAGTTGAACAGAACATATACTGCGGCCAGATAGGTTAAGTTCTTAACAATTGGTAATATTGTTTTAACTGTTTTTAGTCTAAGCGTCCTCGAGCCATCAAGACTTCGAAAGGGTCGGCGAAAATTGCACGTTCTCCATCACCAACATCAGAATCCGACTCAGATGGCGCTGAAGGGTCTAGCGCACCAGCCGAGTACGCACACGTGTCGGTTGAACTACTGGATGTCATGCACACATTGCACACTTCATGCAGTCAAATCGCAAAGGCTAGCACTAGTAGTAGTCGTCAAAAAAATGACACCGCTGGCAACCAACAGGATGGTAGCACTGGTGGAATAGAGAACCAAGAAATTTTGTTGTCTGACCCGGCCGAGTTGTGGGCTCGTTGTTGGTGCCCCCTACTTCAGGGCATGGCCCGATTGTGCCTAGATACTCGTAAGACAGTACGTATACTGGCGCTCAGTGTTTTACAGAGAGCACTTTTAGTGCAAGAGCTGCAGGTGTTAAAAGCTGACCACTGGGAAGCGTGCTTCCATCAGGTACTTTTCCCACTTTTGCAGGCTCTGCTTGAGCGCCAGGTGTTTCCAGATCCAGCGGTAGTCGAGGAAACTTGCGTACGAGTAAACACTCTGCTGTCGAAGGTGTTCTTACAGCATTTATCCCCACTGCTAACGCTACCAACTTTTACGGCTCTCTGGTTGGCTGTACTCCACTTCATGGATAGGTTTATGCATCTCGAACAAGGAGGTGACTTACTGCTCGATGCTATACCGGAAAGTCTAAAAAATATGCTACTTGTTATGGACACAGCGGGCGTTTTCCGTACAACGAAGCCGGATGGTAATTCAGTTCCGTCAGAGCTTTGGAACGTTACGTGGGATCGGGTTGCGCCCTTTTTACCCGGGCTCCAAGACGAACTTTTTAGAAAACCAGAACCACCGCCAGCACCTATGTCTGATCTTGACAAAAAATTTCCAGGTACTTTATTCAAACTAAATATATTTTCCTTTTCTTTCATATTAGCGAGATTATAAGCCTCAATTAAAGAGCCACTTTTTTAAGATAGATATATACTTTGTTAACAAGATACAGGCGTTTTATATGATCTGACTGATTTTAGAACTGTGTATAGTTACTAAACGTTGTTGTGTTCTCTCTTTAGCTAATAGTGCAGAGCAAGCAGACGATATGGATAGTGAACTACCACCTGTGCTAAGCCTTGAGGAAGCATTAGCGCTCAGAGTTCCGGAGAAAGTGCCCTTGTCAAGAATGATGGGTGGAATCCTTATGCAAGAAACAACGCTAACGCCAAGCAACAGCAGTAATGGTTCCGTTATTGCCGCAAAACCAGATGCTGGGAGTATTACGCAAAGGCAACAAAAGCAAGCAGCATATTCTCATCAGCAGCAGTCGCAAGCCCAGCAGCCGCAACATCCAATAATGTACAGCTCAAATAATAATTGTAATAATATCACGCCCTATGGATCCCCCACTCAGCAACAACATCAACAGCAGTTGTTTTATTCTCAGCAGTATCGACAACAATCTCTTTATTCTGCGCCACAGCCCCAACCTCCGCAACAGATGACTGGAGTAGCTGCTAGTGCGCCGCATGCCCCTCTGACGACACCTCAACAGCAAACCATGGGCCACAACGTGGCAATGGTATCACCTATTAGCTCGGTGCCCTCGTCACCACAGCACAGCGTCAATGGACTAACTCGCCAGCAGCAATTACAGCAACAGTTACAACAGCAGCAATCGTTGGAGCGCCGTCTCAGTTATGACCAGTTGCAGCTGCAGATTCAACAACACTGTCAGCCGTTTTATTACCAACAACAACAGAGGGCGGCACTACATTATCCACAACAAACGGCGCAATACTACCACCCGCAGCCCACGCAGGCAACCCTAACGCAACAACAGATACCGATGGCTGTATCGGCTAGTAGTCTAGTTAGTGGTAACGGTGGTAATGCTACGACATCGAATGTGATTGTTCCGACATCCTGCTCGCCCGCCTCTTCAGATTCCTCGCAAATGGCAATGACTGTTGTACAGGGAAGCAGCATATCCGTCTACCCTGGTCAAGCCGTCGGGCAGAATGCGTCGTCCACCATGCAAATGACGCAACTGGCCCAAGCCCAGAACCTTGCCGGACCTTCACAATCAATGTCTTTGTTCTACAGCACGGGCGTCACCACTCCCCAGGCAGTAACTGCTTCGCAGCAGACGACTACAAACGTCTCCTCCTCACAACTCCTTCAGCAGGGGCAGTACTACCAGGCCGGACAACCGCCGCCGCCTCCCTCTCCGCCTGAACACTATTAATCAAATAACAGGTCATTAGGCGACTAGCATTAGTTTTTAGTCAAATATGCTATTCGAGAGACAAACAAATGATACAAGTGATCAGTAAAGTTAGATCGGTACCAAGTTAGTGCGACGATTTTTTTGCTGGGGCATTCTAAAAATGATCAGTTAGTTATTATATTCATAGTATCAATTACAATAATCGGTATATTCGGTTAGCCGTTATCTATGGCAATTCTATCATGACTTAATTGGAAGAAATGTAAATTCAATACAAGCGGGCACGAAAGAGTAAAGGCAGTGACACCCATGTCTAGGCAACAGTTGTTATGGCTTTATGTCAGCTATGATTCGATTGGAGCCAATCCTGCGAAGTTGTCGCAACTGGTTCTAATGAGAGAAGGGGTGAACAAGACAACGAAAAAAACACTGAGTCGAAAGTGCAAAAACTGCAGGGTCAGCTGTCAAGATCAAATTGTATTTTGTGTGTGTGTTAGCGAGTAATGACAGATCAAAGTGACAATGAAGACAGCCCCAATTCAGTTTCTTTCTGAATGCCTGATCAGTACGTTGGCTGAGTCAAGAAATAAACGCGGATTAAGGTAGAAGGGTCAGGAAAAAGACTGACAATAGTTTGAAGTTGTTTCAGATTCGTAACCCTCTAATCATCATAACCGCATTTCTTGTAATAATGATATAATAGCCGACATCGACAACAGTTATAGATAGCATGTAAGCTCTCGTTGCCTTAATGACGATTTTTTTAAAGATAAAAAGTGAACCCGGTGGAACAGATTAACCTTTACAAGATATAGTGATGTTAAATACGAAATTAGGTTTGTTAATATTTAGGCACCCACAGCCGCAATTACTTCAATGATTACCCTGACTGCTAGGAACTCTAGCTGTTTGAATAGAAAAGAAGAATATTTTGAAAATCGGCTCATTAAAGTAGACGTATTTTGTCAAAAATAGCACAAATGATTTGTACGGCAAACGCGAATGGCAAAATACGAGAAGATGAAGTGATGGTTATCGATTGCAGTTTATTACGAGTTATCTGTTTGGGTGTATAATAAAGCTCTTATGAAATTGCCCGAGAGATAAAAATTTTACGAAAAATACGTTGGTATATCTATCGTTGGTACTACATAAGAGTTTACTATATGTAGTCAAAAATATGCGTCTCTGTTGTCAATCGTACACCGGTGGACTTATTCATCATAATCCAAAAATACTTTGAAAAACCATAGAAGGGTATGTTTGCACTTTTCGGTACCGCCGCGACTTGTATCTCTAAGCGAAATAGTTTTCAAGGTCTTATTGGTTAAATATCAAGTATAGATAAATAGATATGAGATCGTAATAT